ATATATATATATATATATATATATATATATATATTTCAAAAGCAAATCTTGATATAAGGGACATCATTTGACTATGTCATTGTGAATGTGCTCATATTTAAAATTTGATTTATTTTTTTTGGTGGGGGAGAAGGGAACATGTGGGCTGAGTTGCTGGGAGGAGTGCAACTTTCATGTGGGTCTTAAACTGTGTGGGTTGTTTTCCTCTTTAAGGAAAAAGACAAGAGCAACATAAGTGTACAGGTTAAGGGAGGCTACATCAACATAACCATGTTTTGAGTCAGCATCGGGGAGGAGGGAATGGTCTGTGGTCTGAATATTTTTTGCTTTGACAGGTATAGTTCCAGATATACTTTTTTGCTTTTATCTGAAAGTTCTTTCTATTTGAGGAGTGTTCTCCATTATAATATGCAGGGCTACATAAGGAAAGACAGATAACATAGCTGTGTTCCCCCAGGTCCCGTGTCATCCTATTTGAATGATACAGGCCATAAGCCCCCAGCTGGGATTATGTCGGGATCCAGCAGACCAGACTCAGATCCGGTGGATCCAGTCTGATCTGGTGTCAAAAGGGCCTTAATGTGGCTCAAAATGGTTTGCCATTTGCTGCAGAATTTCCTGGCTGCAACCACATGGCTAGGCCACAAAACTCTGTGGCAAACCCCAGCAGATCAGATAGCCCTATGTGCCCTTATCTTGCTTTGCAATGCTGCTATTAAGAAGACAACAGTTGAAGCGTCTGATGTGGAATTGGGGGCCTGGTTATGTGGTTGCAGCCAGACACCCCATTTCCATATCACATGTGGCGATGGCAGGAGTCTTCTCACTAGCGGCAACAACAGTGTAATGTAAGGGGCACATGGCAGTAATGGGTTCATGATGTGGGGATGGTGAGCATGTAAGCACCCGCCTTTCCCTGTGCCAGCCCAGGGACCAATCCACACTGGGACCTCGGCCAGGATAGCACAAGCTTGGTCTGCTCAGGGCCCTATCTGGTGGCTAGAGCCAGCAAAATAAACAAAACAAACAGATGACAGGATCATAACTGCTTGAGCTCACTATATAAAGCAGATCAATTTTCCCCAATTAATTCTAGCTGGGAAATGCAGTAATGTCCACTCACAAAAAAGGAGTAGGTTATTGCTTAATATAAGCCTACCTCTTAAAAAGACAGCCATTGTAGCATAGTGGTTTGAGTGTTGGACTATGGCTTTGGAGACCAAGGTTTGAATCCCTGCTGGGCAATGGAAGCCTACTGGGTGACTTTGGCCAAGTCACACACTCTTAGCCTCAGAAACCCCCATGATAGATTCACTCAACAACAACACTTAAA